GTGCTGGTGAGGCTGCTGCTCCAGGTACTGGTGAGTCTGCTCTCTCTGGTACTGCGTTTGGTGAGGCCTTGTACACCTTCACACTTGACTCAGGTGCTTCCCGCTCCTTCTTTCGCGACAGCACCACCCTCACGCCGCTCAGTCGGCCGATTGCAGTCTCCCTGGCAGACCCCTCTAGGGGTCCAGTCCTTGCGCACTCCTTCACGGTCTTGCCGTGTCCGGCGGTCCAGTCTGCTGGCTCCCTGTCAGGTCTTCACCTCCCCTTGTTCTCTACGAACTTGGTGAGTGGTGCTGACCTCCAGGACCAGTGGGTTGACCAGTTCACTCCTGGAGGTCAGCGCGTGACCCACTGTACGTGCTCCCAGACAGGCCGGCACCTGGCCACGTTTACCCGTGCGCCTGGCTCGAGTCTGTACACACTGACTACTTTGTCCCCTCAAGTCGCTGCGTCCGCGTCTACGTCAGGTCAGCTAGCGGCCCCCTGCTCGTGTCGCGCTTTATCGCACCAGACCTCCTTTGGCACCACCGACATGGTCACCCCTCAGTGCAGCGCCTTCCTAGCATGCACCGCCGTGCCCTTGTCTCTGGTCTTCCCAGGGTTCTCCCTCCCCTCCCTCCCTCGCCTGCTCCTCCTTATCTTCCCTGTGTCGAGGGCCGGCAGTGCGCCGCTCCCACTCCTCCTCGTTTCCCCCGACGACTGCTCCCCTCTAGACCCTGCACATTGACGTGTGGGGCCTAGCCCGCGTCAGTGGCAGGACCGCGAGCGGTACTTCCTGCTGGTTGTTGACGATTACTCGCGTTACACCACGGTCTTCCCCTTGCGCACCAAGGGTGAGGTCCCTGATGTTTTGATCCCTTGGATCCGCGCTGCCCGTCTCCAGCTCCGCGAGTGGTTCGGGACGGAGTTTCCCGTCCTGCGTCTGCACTCTGACAGAGGTGGAGAGTTTTCCCTCGACCTCCTACAGAGCTTTTGTCGTGGGGAGGGCATTTGCCAGACGTTCACGCTTCCGGCCTCTCCGTAGCAGAATGGGGTTGCTGAGCGCCGCATTGGCTTAGTCATGGAGGTCGCTCGTACCTCCATGGTCCATGCGGCTGCCCCCGATTTTCTATGGCCGTTTGCGGTCCGCTACGCCGCGCATCAGCTCAACCTCTGGCCCGTGTCACCTTGCCGGAGACCTCGCCCACACTGCGGTGGACGGGGGAGGTTGGCGATGCGTCGGTGTTCCGGTCTGGGGTTCTCGTGCCTTTGTCTGCAATACAACCGCGGACAAGCTCTCCGCCCGCGCTGTTCCCTGTGTCTTCCTTGGTTTTGTCCCTGACGCGCTTGGTTGGCAGTTTACCACCCCACCTCGCGCTGTGTCTTCTCCTCTCAGGACGTCACGTTCGACGAGTCGGTTCCCTTTTACCGTCTATTCCCCTACTGCACTGCCCATCTCCCACCCCCGCCGCTCTTCCTCGCACCAGGTGCTCCCAAGGTAGCCCCCCTTCTCGATCCCGGTCCTGCTCCTTCAGGTGTGTCTCAGGTAGACCCTCCTCCCTTGACTGCGTCCATTGAGGTCACTTGTGACTCAGGTCCTGTTGGGAGTGGTCCTGCTCGGGGTGCTGCTTGTGAAGGTGCTGAGCCTGGGGGTGCGGAGCCTGGGGGTGCTGGTCCTGGGGATGCAGAGCCTGGAGGTGTTGAGCCTGGGCGTGAGGAGTCTAGGGGTGCTGCACCTGGGGGTGCTACGGCGTCTGGTGAGCAGTCTCCCTGGAGCGGCCGTCTCCGTAGTCGCTCTGCTAGTGCCTCGCCACTGCACTCTCGTCGTCGTCTCCCTCTCTCCCACAACAGCTGCGAGGGGTACGTTAGCCGTGAGGGTCGCACTGCTGGAGCTAGGGGCCTTGTTGCGGGAGGCGCTGGAGCTGGTGACTCTGCTACTGGAGTTGTTTCTACTGGAGTTCCTGGGGCAGCTGGTCCCAGAGGTGCTCGTACTGGAGGTACTGGAGCTGCTGGGGGCTGAGGTCCTGCTGGACTTGGAGGTGCTGCTGTTGACTCTGAGGTTGGAGGCCCTTGAGCTAGGGGTGCCGGGTTCTGGGGGTGCTACTGCTGGTGGCGCTAGAGCTGGAGGTTCTGGAGGTGCTGCGGGTGCTGGCGCTGGAGGTTCTTGAGCTGTTGGAGGTGCTGGCGCAAGTGGCGCTGGAGCTGGAGTTTCTGGAGCTGCTGCAGGTGCTGGCGCTGGAGGTTCTGGAGCTGTTGGAGTTGCTGGCGCAGGTGGCGCCGGAGCTGGAGGTTCTGGAGCTGCTGCGGGTGCTGGCGTTGGAGGTTCTGGAGCTGCAGGAGGAGCTGGAGCTACAGGTGCTGGTGGCGCTGCGCCGCCGCGACTGTTCTTCGCTCCGCCGTCACCTTCATCTCTGCCACCGCCTGGCTCCGTGCTTCGTCAGGTTCTTTGCCTCCCGTCTTCTACTGGTCTTCCGTTACCGCCTGGCTCATCGCTGCCTGCTCCTTCTCCTTACACTAAGCTGACAGGCGGTCTTGCTGAGCGTCGTGAGCCTGCGTCTCGTCCTCTCTTACTGTCCACACTGGTCGTACTGGTCGTCAAGAAGCACCTGATCTCTGACTGCTGGTTGGGGTCCTTGTAGGGCTTCAGTAGCTGGACATGGAAAGCATTGTGAAGCTTCCATGTATCTGGTAAGCGCAAGCGGAATGTAACTGGTGTCACATGTGCCTCAACAAGAAAAGGACCACAGAAGCGAGGCCGGAGCTTGGATGGTAGGTGAGACAGGTTCAAGTTGTGTGTGTCAAGAAGCACCTGATCTCTGACTGCTACTGAGTGATCTCGTCGCTCACGATCGGCATACTGCTTCTGGGAGTTCTGCATCGTGGTGAGACGTCGCTGAGTCTTCTCCCATAGCTGCTGCATGGTGGTGACGAAGTCATGTGCGGCTTGGACGTGTGCCGGTGTGGTTGGCTGCTGTGGTGTGAGTGGTTCCCGTCCGTAACACAGGAAGAAAGGAGTTTTCCCTGTGGCCGCATGTGAGGCGTTGTTGTAAGCGAACTCTAGGGTCGGTAACTGTGTGTCCCAGTGGCTGACGTCGTCCTTGCAAGCTGTGCACAGTAACTATTCAACTACTTGATTGAGTCGCTCTGTCCGTCTGTCAGTCTGGGGGTGGTATGCTGAAGACATTGCAAGCTTGTCCCCAACAGTCCCATGAGCTCCTTCCAGAACTTACTGGTGAATTTTGGGTCTCTGTCTGAGATGAGTGTAGCGGGAGGTGCCGTGGATGTTGATGATGCGGTCGAAGAAGAGGCGTGCAGTTGCTTCAGCTGTTGCCGTGGCGTTGGTTGGTATGAAGTGACCCATTTTGGAGAACTTATCGATTACTACGAGGATGGAATCGTGCCCCCATGAGGTCGAAGGAAGTCCTGTGATAAAGTCGAGGCTAACGACCTGCCATGGCTGCTCCGGTACGGGTAGAGGCTGAAGTAACCTTGCTTTTTCTGCTTGCTGCTCTTCATCCGCTGGCACGTGTCGCATGAGGTGACGAACTGCTGCACGTCTGCTGCCATCCCGGGCTAGTAGTAATACTTTGCTATCCCTGCTAACGTCTTGTTGCTCCCGAAATGTCCCGCGTATGGTACGTCGTGAAAACTCCTCCAATAGGATCTGCCGTAGCGGGGCGTAATTCGGTACCCAAATCTTTCCTGAACCCTTCCTTACAGCTAAGTCTTTTTCCCACTGTAACAGGTGCTTGGTCTGTGCTGTAGCGATCTCTGCGTCCAAGGAGTACCCATGTTTGAATAGACCCTTGAGCAGAGGGTTCATCCCGTCGAGCTGGATGCCTGCTACATGTCCGGGGCCGCTCAATGCGTCTGCTTTGTTGTGTGTGCGGTAGTCGATGCATATCCGTAAACTACCGTCTGGCTTTGGAGTGAAGAGGACTGGTGCATCGTAGGGAGAGGTGGATGGGCGGATCAGTTGTCTGTCCATTAGATACTCTATCTCTTTTTTCATGTCTGTCAGTTCAGTCAGACTCAGTCGGTATGGTGCACGTGAAACGGGTTTCGCACCCGGTTCCTCCACAATCTCGTGCTCGTGTGTGCGTGCTGGAGGTACGCCTGCGGGTAGGTCGTCGGGCATTATATCCTTGTACTGCTCCAAGACCTCCTCTGCTGGTGCCATAACCAGTGCTAAGTAACTCGTGTTACTCTCGTTCACTGTCCGTTCGAAACGTGCCAGTGTCGTTTCAGGAACGCTCCCTGTATCCGTCCAGCTTCGCAGCTCCACTCGTTTCCCGTTGTTGTAGATGCACGTTTTCCAGTTGACCCAGTCGATCTCGGGGTTGAACCGCTCAGAAAATCTCGCCCCAAGATGAAATCTAATCCCCTGATGTTCGTGATCGGCAACGTCGGCTTCCACCTCAACGCCCCTATGTGCAGCTGCAGTGATGCTTCGCCGTGGATGGGAAGTTTTTACCGGTCCACCATTGTTGCCAAGAACTTGGTCTCCTCCGAAAATTCTCCAATTTTCTCCAACATCCCGCGGTCGCACACCGAGTGGGACGCACCACTGTCCACCAGTGCCTAAAGGCGTCGCCCGTTGCAGATCACCTCGAGTAGTAGTGGTTGTTGCTACTGCGAGTAACGTAGATGGTCTCGCTTATAGGATCGTAGGGTACGTTGAATATGTTATCCCTAGGTCCTGCGCTCGAAGATGCAGCTTCAATATCAGTTTTCAACTGAGAAAGGTTAGAAGGATTTATCCGAGGCCGATTCGGCTTCTCTTGGGCCTGGAACCTTCCACTAAGCCTTTGCAGCTGTGTAGGCTTCATCTGTGGGGAACAGGGAGCCTTTAATTAGTGCTGATGGGAGAGAATATTAACTCCTCGGAACGCTCGACCCGTATTAGCGCTCTGGAGTAGGGTCCCCATAATACCCGGAACCGGTTTAATTTCTGATTCTCCCGTAATAAAGGCTTGAAACCCATGAGAAGTAATATTCTTACTTGTCGGGGTATACGGCTGGAGTTTCCCGGTCGGTGGAGGGTCTTGTTTCGCAGATCCTCCATTAGTCTCGGCGATTTCCCCTGGTGCCACCATATTCTCCTTTTTCACCCTCTCGAAGTTGCCACGTTGTCCGTTTTCTGCTTCGGGGGTGCCGCTTGTCTTGTCCTTCAGCTCCGCACACCTTCTCTTCATTTCCAACACGCCAAGATACGATGTCCTGTAGCGCCGAAAAAATTTGCACGTCTCATTATTGCTAGCGCTGCTCCACATCGCCCTCGTCGTTCTCCATCGGGTCGGCAGTCGTGGGTGGTGCCAATCGCCCCATGCCACTAGTTGGCTTGTTGCGTCGTGTTCCGTAGTAGCTACTGTTCAACGTGTCGAACTGTTCGATCAGTGCTGCCGGAAATTGCGCCCACGTCCCCTCGCCTTGGACTATTCTGTTGTTGATCCACTCTAGAGCTGGGCCTCGTAACAGTGTTGCTGCGAGCCGTATGCGCATTGCGTCTTTTGTCGGGGTCGTGCATCCAACGGCTTCGAAGTAAATTTCGAGTTCAACTACAAATCGACGACGAAGTCGTGTTTTTTACTGTAGGATCGAACGCCTCCGGTAGCCTCGGCTTCACTGCTTCGAGGTTAACTGTAGTTGCTGCCGTTGTCGCATGTAGAATTGTGGTGTTGCTGCTGCTGCTGCTGCTACTGTTGTCGCTGCTGCTGTGGCGGTTCCGACTGGTCGCAAGGAGTTTTTTGAATTGTGGGAGCGCCGCATGTATTTGCTTATGCTCAGCACGTAACTCCGCGATTTTCTGTACTGAAATATCTCCTTTTCCCTCCATTTGGAGATTACAGGAAGATGCGCGACCAAAATAATCGAAATCTCGGTGCTGATCGACTTACTGCGAGTCAAGTTGACTATAGGATTGACGAGCGCAAATTCTGTAGATCGCGCAAATCTCCCCTGGGCGAAATTTGCGTCCGATCTTGGCCATTGAGGAGAAAATCAATCCGACGCTCCAAATTCCAACGTTTTTGGGCGAAATTCTCTGGGCCGTTGAGATGAATCTCGATCGAACGGTCGAAACTCCAACCTTCCACCAGTAAATCTGAGGGGGTGTTCGAAAACCGAATCGAGGGGGACTTAGAAAAATTGCGCGGAACTGGTTATACATACCCGTATCGGCGCTTTCGTCGTCGCCCCCGCGGTTTTTAAAGGCCGCAACTAAGCGGTTGAAGACCTCTCGTGAAAAACCCGCTCTGATTACCAAGTGTGAGGATCTAGGATCGAGCTGAGAAAAGAGAATATGAATTGAATGAATCACCTGGGTACAACACGAGGCTATATATAGGCTCGACACAAGGCCCCGTAACCAGGTGTACGCGAAGGTCCGCGGGTCGCGAAGCGTCCCGAACAGATCCTTCCCGAATTCGGTAGAAAGGCAATTCGGTGGCAACCGAAAAGCCAGAATCACGCAACCTAGCTCGGTGCTATAACTATAATATAATATAGGAAAGCACCTAGCCTAGGAAATCAAGCAATTCATACATGCATATAATTATCCTATGCTAGAAATAGCATGATAAAGTAAAGGCAAGCAAGCATAGCTGGCATAAGCCATCGTACTCTCACACTGGAGATCTTACGGAGCGTCGTGAGCCTACGTCTCGGCCTACGTCGCCAGTCCGTGCTGCTCGCACGAGTGGTCGTGGTTCGCGTCAGCGTCCTCCGCTTGTCCCCGGCACGCACGGATGTCTCTGCGTCCTTCCACTGCTCCGATGCGTGCCCCTTTGCCTTCTCCTCCCGAGTCCTCTCTTCCTGCTCTTGCTGACCCGGAGTCGGACTCCCTTCGTGCTGCCAGTCCTACTGTCACGCGTCTCCTTGCTATTGTCGTCACTGACCCTTCCTTTGAGTCCACTGCTGCGTATGCCTTAGTTGCTGAGCTTGTCGACTTCGCTGCTCACTGTCGTCTAGACTACGCCTCTAGTCTTATTGCTGAGTCTGCGTCTGTCTGTCCTCTGTCCGTCGGAGGTGAGTGTGCTCTTAGAACGGACGTCCTTGAGGACAGGCAGGAGGAGTTCCAGTGTTTTGCTGCTGCTTTGCCTCATCTCGTGTCCATGCTGATTGCCCCTGAGGGAGACCCGGATGCGCCAGACATCCCGACTCCTCGATCGTACGCTAAGGCGATCGAGGGTCACTACTCCTCACAGTGGCAGTCAGCCATGGACGCAGAGATGGCTTCCTGGAAGTCCACAAGCACCTACCTCGATGAGGTTCCCAACCTGGGGCAAACATCATCAGTGGCATGTGGATTTTCAAGGTGAAGCGGCCGCCAGGTTCTCCGCCTGTCTTCAAGGCGCGTTACGTGGCTCGTGGCTTCAGTCAGCGGGCAGGGAGTTGACTACTTTCAGACCTTCTCCCCCACCCCGAAGATGACCACTCTTCGGGTGCTGCTGCACATAGCCGCTCAGCGCGACTACGAGCTTCACTCTCTTGACTTCAGCACAGCTTTCTTGCAGGGCAGCCTG